CGCCCCGCTGCCTGCCGCTCAGCATGAGGCCCATGTACACAGAGACGGGCGCCATGCAGCCCACCCGGGCCGAGGGCGGGCGTCCCCGCATCATCGTCACGCCCGCCACGTCCAGCGCCGACTTTGCCGGCGTGAGCTTCCAGAAGACGGTTCTGGTCGTGGTGCAGCAGCAGGGCCGGCTGCTGGTCAAGCACGTGTACGACTTCCACCAGAGCACCGAGGAGAACGGAGACTTCCTGGCCGACGCCGACCTGCACCGCCGGACCTCCGAGTACCTGGTGGACGGGTCCCTCATGCTCCACGTGGTGGTCAAACCCATGTACCAGAGCCTCGTCGCGAGCAAGAACTAATCACGTACACATGCCAATCGCAACCACACCTTTCCATCCATCTACTGTTGACTTATCTCAACGTCTGCATCGTCGCAAAGGTTCAACGGGGCCACCGGGAATCCTCTTGTGCGTTGAAAATGTTTGAGAGTAACATTGGATTACAAATCAGTGCTCACGTGGGCTTGTTCACAGCGCTAGTGCTCCATTCATCCTCTACCATTTTGTTGAAGCCGGATGGCCTTCTTTTTGACGATCTATCATGATCAGGGCTCGGCAACTTGGCTGATCGGGATCGTTATCGGGCTTTTACGGAGGTTGCGTTTCAATCAGGAGGAAAACGTCTAAAAGAAGCGGGACTGCGGCTCTCTACGACCGCACTTGCCGAACCCAGATCATGATGATGAAATTCGGTAATTGCGTGCTGTTACGCATTGTACAAGTAGATGCGAAAGAAAAAGGAGGGTTGAAGATTGGCATATTTGTGCTTTTACTTGTTGTTGCTGTTGTGTCGTCGTCCTTCCGCCACATTGACGTTGTGTTGTCTCTCTAAGTTACGGTGCTATTCTATTACTATTGACTTCAATGTAGCTGCAGTGCTCCTTTCTATTATTTCGACATTTATCCAACGTTAACACTTGAAACGGTCTTGAAATATTACAAGAGTGAAAGCGCAATAATAAACTCGTTCAAAGATGAACACTTTGTCCGACACCCGTCAATCAAAAGGACACAGCGGCGGTTTGATACATCAGTGTATCATCACGTGGGTTAGAAAGGAAGAAAGGTATTTGTTCAGGTTTTCTGTCGCCGAGTTAACTGAACTGTCAAGTGTGAATACTCGCACTGGTATCGGTCGGGAAAAAAGTTGCATCAAACATTGCTCACCATGATGCATCAAAGATTTGCACTTTACTTAACATGACTGGAACACAATATAAAGTGAAGACTTATTCTACATGCGTGTGCGTGTGGAAAGTACCTGAACGCACACGCAGCACGTGAGGACTCCACTTCCCATGATGCCTTGCGCCCATCGGAGCAGGAAGCAGCTCGCCAGTTGAGGGGCTCGCTGGTGCGATCCAAGTTGGGAGCAGCCTCCGTCGGCTCAACCTCGTGCACGCGCACCGGCTCCTCTGCAGGCTTCCTTCGTGCAGCAGGCGCGCGAGTGCCGCGCGCTAATCGGAGCGGCGCACGCACGAACGCGGCGGGCGTGCACGCGGATCGTCGTGCACGTATGTGCGCCGCGAGAGGCTCCATGCAAGAGGAGGAGGAGGAGGAGGGGGGGGAGGGAGGAGGCCCCGCACCTCTCCCTGGGGGGCCCCACCCCGCGAGAGCCAAGGGAGGTAAGCGCGTCGCCTTGTGGTGTCATGACGTGCACGCACGCGGCTGACTGCGAAGCGCGTGAACGGGGCACTTGCACCCACTTCCGGTCTGCTGACATTTTTTGCGCGTGCACTCCTGCTGCTCCTGAAGCGTTGCTTCGCGTGCACGAGCGCCGGGCGTCGTCATGAGACGTGCATTAAACTAACTTGCGCGTGCACGCGCGCGCGAGTATGTATGTCACGGGCGGGGGCTTTGGTGCCACATGACACCCTGCTGCGGTCAACTTGACATTCTAGCGCGTGCACGTCCTCTTCTGCACACTTCTTCAACTGTTACACAACTGCCACGGTGTGTTTGTCTACGCCCGCGATACCTTTTACACTCAAATGAATGTCACACTCAAGTCAACACGCGCACTGTGCACACGCATACACTCGCACACGTGCACGAGCATTTTTGAATTCATAAATACACAAATAGAACACCCACGCACAAATGCACATATGCACATGAGCATGCACACACGCTAATTATGCAAACAAGCAGAAATGGACAATGCACACACACACACACACACACACACACACACACATTCACTATGCAGGAAGTGACCAGTAGGCCCCGCCCCTTCTGTGCAGCCAATCAGTGTGGAAATGTTCACATTTGCTTTGAATTACTTTTACTTAGTTGCACAAAATGCTGAGCTCAGCAAGTGTGTGTGCGTGTGTATGTGTGTGCGTGCGTGTGTGTGTGTGTGTGTGTGTGTGTGTGCGCGTCGTACTAGTGCAACATCTTATTCCCGATAAACAGTCAAGATGGGCATTTGTGCTGCGACCATTGTGATGTCATGTTGCTGAAGTGGCAGGGCACACCCGAGATTGGTCGCCAGCCAATGTCAGGACACATCTCTACAAATAATGCATTGGTCGCCCGTCAACATCAGAGCACGTCGAGACAAATA